TGTTTGAAGCCTGAAATGTGGCAAAAGGTCGCAAAGTTCAAGGGGGCCGAATACTTTCGCAAGGCACTGTACTACATTAAGCTTGAGCATATCTTTAATGTTCGTCTTTACAATCTGTTTACATTTTCACAGGGGAAAAAAAAAAAAGGTACATGCTGGGTTAGATAAAAGGCTCTACTTCTAATGTTAGACTTCAAATAAAAAGTTAAGTGTCAATGCTATCACCAAACATTAAAATCAACCAAATGTATTTTTTTAGCCTTGCACTACCAGGTGAATTTGTTATAAAGCTCTTCTAATAAGGGGAACCTTAATGTCAACATTAAGCTGTGATAAATGCACATGCAAAACTAAACCTGGAGAAAAAAAAAAATCGTATAAATTATAGTGATGCAAATTGATAATTTGGCAACTATGCTTCCCTACTCCAGCATTGATTAAACCATCCCCCTATAAGACACTGCCTTACCAGAGTTTAGTGTACTCCGTGTCCATCATAGCAGGACACTCTGTAAGGATTTTTGTAATGCCAACAGCACATATCTTCTTCTCAACTGTTCCAGAAACCTTCTGAACCTCTGGAATCACTATTTTCTCCAGCACCATACCAAACATTCTGCAATAAAAAAAGTAAACAGGATTAAACCATTTCACCACTGAACTTCTGGGCATACATTAAACATGAAAACACACCTGCAAAGGGACTGGGATCAGTGACTGCTGTGGAGATCATTTACTATACTGCAGACAGGATCATGGCATCATTATCATCACATCATAAAATTTTATGAGAAAACAAAGGGCAGCTATTACAACATGCCTCCAAAATGCAGTACCAAAACCTGGTTTGTCTTACTGCTCTCTTTTTAGACTGGTTGTGTACATTTACATTCTTCACACATAAAAACATTAGGAAACACAGTGGAACTATGCAGGCTGGAAGCATTTTCATCAGTAAACTGTTTCTCCTATGAAATCAATTGTAACCACTATGACCAAGCAGACAACAGGACAGCCCATCACAAGGAGACACCGATCAAGTTTAAAAAGGGCCAAGTTTTGGCTCAAGTATTCCTTTTAAATATGTCCTGTGCTGAGCAACAGAGTTTAAATAGCACGAGTGGGCCATCAAATTCAAAAGGGCGAGCCAACTTGTGAATCTTCTGTGCGTTAAGATCAACAGAACTTGTCATATTCCCACTGCTTTGCATGGATGAACCCCATAAATAACTGCAGTGTGGTTTATTTTGAAAATTCACTTACTTTGGCTGGATGCTATCAAAAATCTCATGAAGTGCAATAGCTCCATATTTGACACAATACAGGTTGATAAATACCAAGAAGCCTGTTAGGAAGAGAAAAACCAAGGGAAACTTTAATGCTTAAAACTCGGCATTATCAGACAGTTAAAAACAGAACACTACACTGGCCAATATCACCATTCTTATAAGTTAAAAGCTATGTTCAGCCGCTGATTAACAGGCCTAAACGGAACAGTGAGAAGATGGTACTCACTCTTGATGAACTTGGTGGTTTTGGAGCTTTGTAGCCTCTGGAAGAGCAAAATAAAGATCTGTTTCCTGTACTGAGTGATTGATTCTCTGGCAAAAGAAACAGAACATTACATAACATGACATGCTTTAACCCAATCCATTTCACCACGTAGTACATTTTATTGCTGACCAAACATCGGCCGTCAGCTTACGGGGGCATGTGCTCTATGATGCTGCCAAGAAGGTAGAAACCCTGGTGATCATTGGCCTTCGAAGCAATAAGCTTTTGGAAAACTCCAAGCAAACCAGGCTGAGGAGAAAAGGTGAGATCCCAGTATGAATATACTTGTTGCAAAGAGTGAGGAAGTAATCGTTCTTTTGATACAAATAAAGGCAGCAAAGCTATAATTATCATCGCCTGCAGACAAGTAGGACACTGTCATCTTCTCTGCTGTACACAATACCACCAACACTTACTATTTTATCTGTAGCAGAGCTGGCAATAGTGGCACTTCCTTTCTCCAGGTAGGCCTGGAGCAGGCGCACCAGAGGGGGGATATTTCCTGTCCGTTCCCAAAGCACAGGCTGCAGCAGGTGAGGAAACAAAGCCATGTAGGGAACAGAGCCGGAGTAGAGCTCTAGGAGAAGGGACATCACCTGGAACAGGTATGGAAGAAACTCTAACAAAAGGACAAAAGGAGAATGAGTTTAGATGGCTCTGATCAGCTTCCTGCTGTATGTAGCAAAACACAAAGTATAAAGAGCTTCATGGGTAAATGGCACACCCTGCACGTCATTCTGAAGGATCTCAGTGAAGACAGGGAAGAGTGCTTCCTCAAAGCTGCTGACAGTAGAGGGGTTGGCCTTGCAGGTGATCCGCACAGACAAGCACAGGGACTCAAACAGGTAGTGGTTAAAATGGGGCTTGCTGGGATTCTGAAAATGGGTGGTAGATTTTGGAACAGTTAAACAACATCCCCCTGCACAGGCATTTTAGAAAATCTACCTGTATCTGTAAATAAAAAAAAGCTTGGATTACCTTGCTGACTAAGAGGAGCTTATGAGTGAGCTGAGCAATCAGAGTGGGGATGTAGGGAACAATGGCCTCCTGCAGCAGGGAGAAGCTGCGCATGATGGCTTCAAAAATAAAAAAAACAAAATGAAAACCAAGAGACGATGAAGCTACTTAACATAATTGGAGCTGGTCTGTAACTGACAGATGACAGGAAAGCCAGGTTTACCTTTCATGATGTATTCATTTTCTGCAGAACCTGGAAGAGCCAGTGCCTTGAACAAGTTGTTGAGCAGCTGTTCAGTAAAAGGTGCCATCTCTGCAGGTGTGACACTGAAAAACCAAGAGAATGAATTAGTTCTACAGAAAGATGCAAAGGTTTGAACTGAGATGTTTCATGTCAGATCAAAATCAAATCAAAAATTATTTATATTGTACTTTAAAACCAACATCTGGTTGACCAAAGTACTTTACAGTAGAGGAAAACATGCAATACACCAGCAATAATGCTGCCAAAGTTAGATATCTAACTTATTTCTGGTTGGTTATTTTAAAAGATACAGCTGCAAGTTAAAGTAATGGCACTGTTTGAAATTTCCTCATTTTCTGCATAATTGGGCATGAAATGAATGAAAAGTCACAAATAATATTTGACTCTGTAACCCTTTACAGCTACATGCACATCAACAACTCTCAATCGTAGGTCAATCTTTTTTTCAGGCTCTCTGGTTTCATTGACTAGACTCCAGGTTTGCTAACACCCGACTCCAGTTGACCTTCAGTGACATCAGAAGCCTAGTGTTTCCGTTACTTTTTCCACCATCACTTTGTATGTTTAATGGGTGTGTTCAATAAAGACATGAAAGGTCATGATTGTGTTTTATCATCTTAGAAATATTGTGTTTGATATTTGTGACTTTGGTGAAGATCAGATCACATTTCATGACCAATTTATGCAGCAAACTGAAAACAGTGCCATTACTTTTTCTTGCAACTGGTACTCGGCTGTCAGTCAAACATTGGGACACTTTCACATTCAATTCAATGGGAACATGTTTTCACCCTTTTGACTGGTAGTGTAAATGTGTCATTACATTGCTTGCTACTCACAGTGTGGTGTTGTTAGGGCCTTTCATAGTGAACAGCCTCTCCAAAGCATGGGCAGTGTAAGTGTGCTGCACTGTGCTCTCTGCCTGCAGGTGAGTTATCAGTAGAGGGATTGCCTGCAGCAGCTGTTCCTTAGGAAGCTGAGACAAAGGGGACAAAGGAGAAGCCCTCCATAATGCATTCACGCTACCTTTTCAATTTAATGCATTTTGAGAGAAGCAAGAGTTCATACCTGGCTTCTGAAGATCATAACATACTTGATAGCATCAGCTTTCAGCACAGGGAACTCATTAACTGCAATGGAAATGCAAGTGCTCAGTGTTACTGTGTAGTCTAAACTAGATCTAAACATTTACATTCACCACAGTTTGCAGAGTCTGTTGAAAGTTTCTGACTGAATGCGTAGTTGCAAAATACATTTCAAAGCCATGTCAGCTGTTCTGAACCGTTAAGGTTTAACAAAAGACAGCATACTGAGACCTTTATGAGTGTCTTCTTACCATTTTGGGATTTTAAATCTGGCAGAATGTGGTTTACAAAAAAATCTGTCAGATTCACCAACTCATTGGCTTGTGTTATCCCATGCTAGAGGGAGGAAAAAGAAGAGTAATGCCAATTATATATCAAATAGATTATAAATCTAAATTGCGCTACCAGTTTACAATAACCCTTTGAAACATCATCTCAACCATACCTTTTGTGTCTGGGCTTTAGATGCTAGTGATGTGACCAAATAGATGGCAGCATCTTTGTGTTTCCAGTTCCCTTGAGGGTTCTTTGCATACTCTGCCAGCATTGAGCTCACATAGCCAGAGAAGATTGCTGTGACAGGACCCTCAAAAAATTTGCAAAGGCCTCTCACTAAGTCACATGCCGCCCTGCGACGAGTGTCAATGTCTGAACAAGGATGGAGAAAGGGTTATCATCAAGTATTCTAACCAATCATCTAAACAGGTGACTGACTAAGCTGTCTGGGTTTTCACTGATCTTACATGCCAAGGATGAAACCTGGCTGACAACCCAAACAGTCAAACTCAAAATGTAAAGAGAAAACGCACAATTTTTAAAAATATTATTACGATATATTTTTTGTATTAGATAAAAGCAATAAACAATCTAACCAGATCCTTCAAGGTCTCTTCGGATGTATTCTTCCGGGTTATCCTCAAACGCCTCCTCATCTGCACCTAAATCGGGCGTTACAGGCAATCTGCTTAGTGCCACACAGTACAGAAGTGCATGTTTGTGTCCAGGTAAGCACAGACCTGAATCACAGGTGCGACTCAATGACTCAAAGCAAGCAAGCAAAAATTTATTTATATAGCACCTTTCTAAACCTAAGTTACAAGGTGCTTTACAGTAAAACAAAAAAAAAAGAATAAAACCAGATAAATCACACATACACAATAAAATAACAAAAATGCACAATCAAAAACAAATACATCGATCAGAGATGTTGCTAAAGGCCTGCGAATACAAGTGAGTTTTAAGGAGTGATCGAAAAACAGTCAGGTTTAACATTTAGATCTAATATTCTGTGGTAGACTATTCCGCAGTATATGAGCCTGTATCGCAACAGCTCGATCTCCCCAAAGTTTTAGTCTGGACTTGGGTACATCCAGGAACAAGTGAATGGAAGACATAAGTTTCCTCTCTGGGGCATAAAAATGTACAAGATCAGAGATATATGAAGGCACTAGACCATGCACAGCCTTATAAACAAACATCAACAATTTAAAATCAATCCTAAAACAAACAGGATTTACTTACTTCTGAACTCCATGTTGGGCACAATGACCTTCTCACAAATGCTAGTGAGTGTATTCTGGTCTTCAAATAGATGCTTATAGTGTGGTCTTTCACAAACCGAAGCCAAGAACTGGATGGCATTGCTTACGAGCTGCAACAAAGATGAAGTGTATTATCAGTACAGGGTAGGTGAACTTCAAACACACATTTAGGGATCAATGCTCTCACCAGGTCATATTTGACTTCTTGGCCAGTAGAAACTAAAAGGTTCCAGATAGCAGTGACGAAGCGTGGCAGATATGGCTGAAATTCCTCGTCATACTTCTGAGCGTAAAGAGCAGCATTGTCACAGATCTGAGACTTCAGCAGCTCCAGGAGACCTGCTTCCTCCTCATCCTATGGAGTTGACATAACAGACACAAAGACATACTAAGAAATCACTTTAGAGCACAGCAGTGATAAACACTGCATGGCCGGGGTAAGAAAGACATATCTCTCACATCTGTTTGTAGAAGCTTATTATCCAAAGTCAGTAGGCCATGGAAATTGGTCATCCAGGTTTCCATATTGTCTTCAAAAAACTCTGGAAGATCCTGTGGAATAATGCACAGTATAGTTATATGAAAATATTTTACATCCACGACTGTTTTAGTAATTCAGATTCAATTCAGATACATTACAATTTTTTAATTACCAGTTCATTATACTAATCTCCAATTTAAAATACATCAAGCAAATCTTTTAGACGACTTAGTTATTGTTTTAACTGATTTATTTAAAGCCAAAAAGCAGTAACAGTTTAACTGTACAGTATCATTGTATGGGCCAGGCTGCAATGGTTGATATTGACTTCTAAAGCACAGGAGACACTAAGCAACTTATCACTTCCAGTGGTTAGCAACATGTAGAAGACAGGAAACCTTTTCAGTAAAGACAAGCACACATTAGAATGTCATAGTCTTTGAGAAAAGAAAAAAACAACAACAACAAAAGGATTAGGTTCAAAAGACACACTGGAATTGTCCAAACCAGCAAAGCCATTAGGTTCCAAGTAAACTGAACTGACCTGGAAGTTAAGGCTGTAGAAAAGCTTAGAGATGAGTGTGAGGGAGGAGAAGAGGACCTTCAAGGCATTGATGTCCGTAGCATGAGTCTGACACAACTCAATAGTTGCCTACAGCCAAAAAAAGAGAAGAAATAAATGATTGAAACCTCTCCATATATTTGTTAGCTCAAACAAATATGCAGCTATAACAACTACATTACTTTAAAGCACTGTGATAATTGAACTGAAAGTCATTAAAACTTATAAACCTTGAACAGCTCTGTCAAAGGTAGGGCAAATGTGTCCAATACTAGTTTTATCTCCGACCAAAGCTCATTTGACTTAAACTCGTGGCGGTACCTTAAAAAAAAAAAAAAAAAAGGGCAGATTTGAATTTTTGTCTACAGAATTAATTATAAAAAACAGTCTAAACCATGAAACAGAGAGTTCTACCTCTTAAAGAGGGAGTGTGCTGTACGGAGCACTCCATTGATGATGTGGAAGTCTCCACTTCTGAATCGGGTTACCATCTCAGTTAGCAGGTCAGGCCATTTCTGAGGAAAATCCTCTCTTCCTATGATGCTGATGGCATCGCTCAACTGTGGAGATACACAAAACAAAAAGGGCCTAGATTCAGCATCTTTGTTCACTCTTCAAATCAAAAAAGGATAGATCAGCCCCTTTACAGAGATGACAGGTGATAAAGTACCTGTTTTTGTATCTGTTCAGGGCTGCTTAGCATCAAATTCACGATGTTTGCTTTAATTGCTGTCCGGTCTGGATTGGAGATTTTGTTTGGCTCCTCTTCAACCTTTGGGAAAACAAATCACAAACGTGAGATAATCAACTCAGTGCACAGGTCAGCAGTGGTTCTGTTCACACTGTGCACAAAATGTTATCTTTTTTAGTTTGTCCCATAGAGTAGATGGATGGGTTAATAACAGACTCACAATGCGCCAGTTTCTTTTGATGTAATTCTTGAATGTAACAGCAGCGCAGACACGAATCACGTTGTCTTGGGACTTCTCCAGCAAAGTGAGTAGTAACAAAGGGTAGTTCTGGTTCCCCTCCACTGATTCAAGAAACTTTTCAGCTAAGAAAAAAAAAAAAGCATTAAGTATTGCAAAGCTGAGATTACAATCAAGTGAATCTTTTGCATCAGCATGTTGAGAACAATATCCCTTATGAAATACAATAAGATAAACGAGTTAATGCTGAGCTCTTAAGTTATATTACCTGGACGTCTGACTGTTGGATCTGGGTCCAGCGTTTTCCTAAGGAACTCGGTGAGGGTTTGTAGGTTAGCATCATTCAGTTCCATGCTCGTAACTAAGGGCTAGAAAACGAGAAAGTGAACCGATGATGTCAACAGACTTATTACATGTGGACGAACTTCATCTAAATGCTGAGTAATCGTGAACTAAATCCCAGCAATGTTAATAAAACGTGTGTACTGGCCCCTATAATATGTGGCAAGTTCGATTACTGAAACAATCCATATTGTGATTACATCCTGTCAGTGTTTCAATACTCTATCTAGCAAGTAAAAGCCATTCTTCATGCTAAATTTACAGTTTTTTGTTTTTTTTGCTAGGTCCAGTCATCCGTACATTTAATCCGCCGCTTGTGTTAACCTTATAGCTAACAGCTTGTCTAGGCTAGCAGGCTAAAGGTGGGCTAGTCATCTGAAAGTTCCAACTATAAGCACATGGTGGTCGAAATATCATATGCATTGGATCCTATATAACGCTACTGTATGTTTATCGGAAATAATCTACTGTTTCATTGTCCCGAACTAACGTTACTAAATTAACAAAGTTTAAATGCTAACGCGGATTGAAAAGTGATGTCCCTACTCCAATGAATAGACTGATACATCAGCCGGTCCGCCTGCTAAGCTTAACGCTAGCTTGCTAACGGGTGTTGTGCTAACTAGAAAGTAAGCTAATTTCAGAACGCTGCTTATTTCTCGCAGGATATTAAGACAACGATCCATTTTACAACTCTGATTCCGTATTACTAGATGTGATAACTTGATGGGGTAATGGGACAGCTTACCGTAAGAGTAAAATTCAGTTAAAATAGAATGATGATGCAGAACAGACCGTAAAGACGTGCTCGTCCGTGCCAGCTTTCAAATGTCTCAAGCAAAAGGAACTGCGCGGTCCGCCTTCTGCGCAAGCGCAGATGTCACGCAGGAGCTGTGAGAAACGCCCCTTATTTGGTCTCTATCAAGTGCAGCAACAATTTACATTCATACATATTTTATTTATGACAATTAAAACGTCAAATTTTTATATTACAAATGACAGACGTGATCATTGTTTAGAAGTTTAAGTTCAGGTGATGCATCTCAAACATCAACAAACAGTAGGTCCCACTAAGTAAACAAATACAGCCAAATTGATTTTTTTGCATTTTAATGATGAAAGCATGAAGGCTTAACAATAATGCACTTAGAACAGTATACCTAAGATGTAAAACAAAAACAGCTTCAAAGCTGAAAGCATCTCTTTTGAATACAAACAAACACATTTTTAACACAAAGTGAACCCTTTTAGTGAGCTTAACCCTCTTCCTGTCTCACAGGTTTGGGAACACAGGCTCAGAATATGACCATGCTACAAATTGTGGGTCTGACGGATATTTAGGGTGTCTCGCAACATCAGGTCACGAAGTCGCCAAAGTGCATCTGCCATTGTCTTGTGGGCCCCTTTACTCTTCAGCCAGTGGGATGGTAGTCTGCTCTCTTGCTCTTTAGTTAGGCGAACATCTTGTTTTTGAACTGAAATTACACAAATAAGATAAACTTTAAAATGCACTTGTATGCAGAATTTCACCATTTGAAATTAACTTCATAAGTTATCATGGGTGACATTCTTTTTTTGGTTGTAATTAGTTATGTAAAAAGAATGAATGTGTCAAGTACACATATCAACAAGCTATATTATCTCGTGTAATCTGTTATGTAGATTTAATCATTGGCCAAGAAACTACAAAATTAACCTGAGAGGGCTTGGTCCCACTTGCTAATGGTTGAGGATTCTGCATTAAGGCCCTCGATGTATCTGAGGTACGCCTCAGAGTGGAGCAGCCGCTGAGACTTGGCTGGTGGGGACACAAACACCGGGGTGGAGGGCTGCTGGAACGCAGGCTGTCCTATCTGGCCTTGTCCTGGATATGGTGGTGGAGCCTGCTGCCCTGAACCCACCAAACCCATCTAATGAAAACATCAAAATGTAGGCACTCTATTATTTCTCTGATCAAGACTGGAATTCACATAGCATTTTATCTTCATCAGTATCTTATGTCACATACTGTAGTAGTTGTACACGGTCTGTTAATTAGAGCTTTAAGCACAAGGTTTGCATTTGAAGCCAACTACTGCATATTTGATAAAACCAGAAAAAGAAGCAGACTGGGATTTCATTATTTCCAACAATGTTGTAGAACAGTTTGATGTGAACAAACCTAATCACTTTCTCAATATTATCAAGCAGCCTCATGTTACTCTTCCTAGACCACACAGATCTGCATCAAGGCAGTAACATATATCTAAACTCTGACCTTACATATGGTTTGCAGTGATTATGTTCTTACAGAGCCTAATAGATTACCTGGGATCCATGAATGTTTGCTGCTCCAGGTCCACCTCCCATACCATTGACACCTGTGGGGTATTCAAAATCAAGGCACTGTCAAAAAATTGCACTATGCAAACTTCATATTGGTTTATATTAGTAATACATTCAAACATGAACCAGTGTCATTTTATTCTACATTAGAACACTGACTGCCAATTACTGATATAGTAATAAAATTGCAGCTTTACCTTTTTGATTGTTGGAAACACTGAATTTTGATAACATGTTACCAACAAGCCTACTTGCAATAAGCAAACCCCAGTTAAGGCTATATGCTCTTAACTGACAATTTATCAACTCAAGGAAGTCAGCCTATTGGTACAGGTAGCCCCTCCAGCAAATCAGATTGGTAGACAGGAAGCAACTGCGTGGCACGTGGGGTGGCTATGGCAGCACTCTTACCAAAGTATGGCATTCCAGGGAACCCAGGCATAACAGGCAGGAGATGTTGGGGAAAGACAGGCACCCCCATGTGATGTGGTGGTATGCCAGTCATACTAACCATGCCTTCAACATGGCCCTGCGGGGGCATCATAGCTGACCTATATGCACCCATCATATTGTCTTAGGAAGGGACAGCAGTAACACAAAACAGCAACATGAATCATTAAAACATGCATGAGCTGCTTCACTACCAAGCATGCACTAAATGTTAAAATACATGCTTTAATCAGCAGGTCATTATGGTGGAGATGAATGGAAATAAAAGACACACAGTTGAAAAATGTTCAATAAAAACAATTTGATAAACATGCAGCACTTTCAAGCAGTAGTTCATGCCCAAGCATCAAATGGTGCACAGCAACATTTTCTCCTCATGTTCTCCATTTAAATGCTGAGCATGTGTAAGCAGCTTCATGGGCAATAATTAGAATGTCACCCATGTTGCTAACACCATGAAGTGATGTGAGTATGAAGTGTGTTGTACACCAATCAAGGTTTGGGCTTATCAGTTAAAGGTTAAGGCCAGTCATTTTCTAGATTATCAGTATACAGAGATTAAAACCAACAATGAATTACCTCTACTCAAGGATAACATCTGACAGTCTCCAACCTGGATTAGTTGAGTCTTGCTACTTCAAACGCAGTAAAAAGTTATGGTCGTTTGGAGCTTTTGCGGCAATAGTTTTTACAAATATGTGAGCCTGATGTTTTATGATGAGGAAACGCGTCACCTAGTACAGTGGTGTGTTTCACTGATGTATTTTTAATTGTTTTTGAATAACAACAAAGGTCTACGGCACTGATGAAGTTAATCCAGGTTAGAGACCGACAGACATTAACAGTGAGTAGAGGCAAATCACTGCTGATTTTAGTATGGGATAGTCGAAAATACTATTAATATAGAGAATGACCAACCTTATCCTTTAAGTGAGATCATGTTAGAGGTATAAAAATAAAGATAAATGACAAACAAGCCAACATGGGTGTGATTAGAAAACTTAAAAAAGGGAATATATCTAGCAGTTCAGCTTCTTATTCCAGCCTTCTAGTGCAGATCCATCTGCTTCTATGAGGGGTTACCTGACACAGGCGTCATGCTGGGATTTAGCATCCCCATGGGGGTTGGAGGAGGGACTACCCCCATCAGTGCCCCTACTGGGGTACCTGCTCTAGGGGACGTCTGATGATGGGCCCTCTCACGCTCCTGCTGCTCAGCCACTTTGGCTGCTCGCTCTAAAATACAATGAAGTCAAGTATAGTGTTTAAACTTTGTACTCATTACAAACAACTGGATCATTACTAGAATTGATCAGTCCTGAGGCTCTTCTCACCTTCATACTCTGCTTTCCTGGAACTCTCCAGGTTCCTCCACTCTGTGCCGACAAGGCGGCTCAGCTCTCCAAAGGAGAAGTCTGGGTGCTGGGCTTTGATAACCGCTCGCATCTCACTGCTAAACAGGATGTAGCCGCTCATGTTGATCTTCCGCTTTGAGCCCTCCTTCTTTGAAAGTCCCTTTATGGATTTTGGTGTGGACTGCAACCAAACACAGAAAGCCATTTAGATAAATACTACCACAGAGATACTGATTTGTTTGTTTAAGGCAGAGGTTTACATTTCTAATGAAACATTTCCAATCTGACCTGTGGAGGAGTATACGGCATGATATCCATGTCACTAGACATGTTAGATTGCATCTGAGGGAGAGACTGGTCCCCTAGCTCGCCATCATCATCTCCAAGATCCTCTAGCTCCTCATCTGTCATGTCAGCAAACTTAGCCTCCAGTTCCTCAATTTTCCTGTTCAGCAGAGGGGATGGCTCCTTCTGGGGCACTATGAGCTTCCTGTGTAAGATAATCAGAAAAATATTCTGCACAATTTATCCAACTTCCCATTGTGGAAGAGCTGCCTGCCATGCTTTAAGTGTTCCTTTCATTAAACTAGAATACAACATAGACAATCACAGAACAGGAAAGAGCCAGGAATTACACTGAGCCAACAAGGAAGGATAAAATGTCTCTTGAGTTGCTGTTTCTGGCCATCAGGTTTCTCTGTTTGGGTATTTAGGACAAGTGCATGTTTACTTCATAGTCCTGTAACAGAATTTATTGTCATTCCATTCCACCTGCCAGTGGCGAAATATACAGTACATTTCATTTAGAGGTTGTTCACCTAAAATAGTAGATTTCGTCCTCGACCACCTTTCCAGAGAGTGAAAAGCGCTTAAGGCCCTTGAACTTTTTCATCTGTTTCTCGCTGTCAATGTAGCGACTCTCACAAAGCAGAATGTTCTCTTCAGGCACTTCAGTTGGCCGGCACGACAAGTAATCTTTGAAGGATGACACCACACACTTCCCTGTGAAAGCAAGATTTCCATTAATCACAAAGTGCAAACATTAATTTCTGGTACTCAATTTAACCCAGTGTACTGTAAGGAAGGTACCTATGAGGCAGGTCATGGGACAGGTCTCCTCCAGGTTACTAAGGAACACTTCCTTCTTGTAGAACATCTTAGTGGGCTCATGCTCGGTTTCTTCTGGATGAATGAAAATGGGACCAAAGAAGTAGCCTGCTCCATCTCGCATCCACATTTTCTCAATCCTGTTCAATACATTAAAAATATTTAACTAGCATTAGATGCACTAGAAATCAGGGAACCTCTGTATATTTGTCATAGCTCCAAGCTCCCTGCGTCCCATTATTTCTAACCATACAATAATATCCTGTAGACTTCCTGTGCTCATGACTGATGGGAAGGAGGGGATATGTCTCCCACGGTCATTTAAAAAGAAAGTATTTCTCATGAAACTGCATGAATGCCTGTAATTTGAAAAAAAAAAATCAACATTGTGTTTAAAATAAATGCTTTTTCCCACTACTAAACATTCACAACCACTCTGTGTGTACTGTAAAGCATATAAAGCATTAACTCTACCTCCCCACTCTGTGGCGTACTAGTCCATGAGAAGCAATGTAGACACAGTCTCCCACTTTGAGCCACAGGTTGTTGTAGCAGAGCTGCTCATAGTACTGACACCCTGGCTCCCCATTGGTCATATCCATTAAAACATCCTCCCTCTCCTGCACATACAAATGGTTTTCTTAACAATAATCTCCGATTTTATATGTGCATTCAGTCCATTTAATAGAAATAGTCAACTGGAATTTACCTTGTCTGCAATACCATCTGTTATTTTGCTTTCATCGGCCATCTCTGCTTTGTCCTCTTGTTTCGGGGCAAACATGGACGCCACACGAACAACAGGTAGGGGAACCTCTCTGGGAACAAACCGAACTGAGCTCAGGGGCATGGTCCACATCTTTATCTTCTTAAAGGACTTGGACTTGGCCGAGTAACGTGATTCACAGACATAGACATCCTCTGCTCTGAAGCCTTCTGGGTGAAGTTTGAAGTACTCCTTAAACGCCAACACAACAAAGATTCGGTCACACTCAGTCCACACACTAAATTGTTGTGGTTCAAAAACACAGATGAAAAGCAAGCATTTACCTTCACAAACATGACCACACATTTGCCCAGTATCTTGCTGACAGGAGCTTTGTTGTAATAGTCACTCTTAAAGACTTCCTTCTCCAAGAACTTCCTTGTGGCAAGATGAAATGTTTCATTTGGTCTATAGAACCAGCAGCCGTACAGCCACTTCTCACCTACATTTATGAGGTGAAAAAATGGATTTAATGTAAAAAAAAAAAGATTATTTTAGAAAACACTATATGAATACAGCTTTTCTAATAAAATAGATTCCTCTCTGATTAGTACTAAGGAAATGACCAGTGTCGTCTTGCCAAAGGCGTTCAATGTAGATGATATGGGGCTGGAGGTTGGGCTCTGCAGGCTCCACATACACGTAGTCCCCCACATGGTACATGCTGTCCTTGAAGCTGCAGTCTTGACTGTATGTGCGCTGCAGGTTAGACTGCCATGATCCTCCAATGGAGTCCTCCCTCTTTTCCGCTTCTGGAAATTCATAATGTATTGGTATAACAAGGCCGGAGTATATTCTGAGAGAATGCATTAAAGGATACAGCTTCAGTGTGCTGTGACTTTTTAACAAACATTTAAGAGCATACCCCTTTTCTCCTCTTCCCTCTTGATTCTGTCCTCTTCAAACTCCTTGGGTAGCTTCTCCTTCTTCTCTTTTTCCACATCACTATGCAGATGTTTGGAGGTATAGCTGAGAGCAGGAGACATCAAGATCTCTCCATTCTTACAGAGCTCATCTCTGATCCGGATAAAGAACTGCTGCAGCTCTACAGCGTCTTCAAAGATCTCAGAGTCAGTCCTGTAATAAACAAATGGTGCAACAATAATTGTAGCCTTTTTTTCTTATAGTAATCCTACAATATTAATGGAAAAGATGGTTTCATGACTAATTTGGTTTTGTACATGATAGTCAGTAGTACCTCACCTATTCAATCGTCTGGCCTTTTCTAGCACTTCAAACATGTGGTCCTGAAATACATCCAATCTCTTATAACGCCCTCGGTCTACATTGGTCCTGATAATCTCAAAATTGAGTGGTGGCTTCTCAGGATTTGCAGGATCTATTGCGGGAATCTCTGCGAGTGAATCACTGTAGCAACGGCCCTCATCGTCTTGGTGACCGAGCACAGAAACAAAGAGGCTGCGGATAAGTTCCTGGATGAGACGGGGCACGTCAGGTACATGGGCGTCCTCTCCTCCCTCCAGGTCACGCCTTGTTTCTAAAAGCACCCTGTGCAGAATCAGAGCGTCGCGGTAAATCAGAGACTCGGGTTCGTTGTAAGTACAGGCATTGTTGAACATTAGCACCAAGTCCTCCACCAGTGCATCTACATCCTGGTACTTATTAGCCAACATATGGCTCTTGATCTTTTCCATGTCCACAGGTTTCTTGATGGCGATGTAGTAATCAGGCAGCTCAGCACGAGACGGAAGCCGCAGGAAGATCGTGCTTAGACGACGACCCCGCTTATCTGTGTAGTTTTTGACAGCCTCGTAAAGTTCATTCAGCTTCTGCTGTAAAGGCGTTAGATACTTGGACTTCTTCAGCGTAACACTGGTCTTTCCTGTAATCAAACAGAGTGTACTGTATGTGTGTTTTTACTAACCAGTCTTTCTGCTTCTTGACTGGTAACAAACTCACAAATTTCTGTGGATTTGATTCAGTCAAGAAAAACTGGGTGGCATACTTATTTTCAACTTTGGGGACATCAGGTCATCATCATCGGTCACTGGCCCGAGATCCTTGCGTCTGTCTTCCATAATCTTCTCTAGGATGTCGGCATCATTGTAGACCTGAAACACAACAAAAAGGCTGATCATGAAAAGATTCTGGTTTCAGTAAAAAATTTCTCTCTGACTACATTTTACCTGTTGATTTTAATTATAATCCATTTCAAGAGTCATATCTCCATCCTCAGTCCATCTAATCCACTCAGGAGCAATAACAAATGAGGAATTAGACTGCTTAACAAAAGCCTCAGTGAAATGTGATCTTACCTGGGAGCCTTCCTCATTGTAGTGTCGTGCATTGCGGAACATCAGCTTCATATCTTCCACCATTGCATCTTCAGTCATGTACTTGTCTGAGCGGATGTTGTGCTCAATGGTCCTGAGGTCCATTGGTTCCAGGATGATCTTGTAATAGTCAGGGTAGTCCTTCTTTGAGGGTTTGACCATGAAGAGGTCACACAGTCTCCGACCAGTGACAGCTTCTCGCGCCTCAGTCACAGCAGCTAGGAGAGCTTTCATTCGGTTTTTCTTTGTGTTCTTCTTGTGACTGAAAACAAAACACAAGTCAGTTATCACTCTCACATTACACACACACACACACACACACACACACAAACCAATTATTAACAAGAACTCAGCAAGTAAAATGGGACAAAATGCACCTTTTTCTTTTTGTACTACTGGTGTCAGACGTGGCAGAGGAGAGCATGCTGTCTCCATCATCGTCATCTCTCTGTAAAAGCTCCTTTCTCTTCATCTAGACAGAAAACAGATGATATACAACTCAAATGTTTACACTGTTTCTTAAAATGCAGTAAATCTGACAAAAACACAAACTTTGCTAATGCATATCTTTGGTCTTTAAGTACACACCCAAAACACAGATGCACGGCTATTACTTAAATGGAAGTCGGGACTGACCTGCTGAATGTGTTGGAGTTTCAATGCACGCTTGTAAATGGAGGAGTGAGGTACATTGTAGCGTTTGGCATTCTCAAACATCAGCGTCAGATCGGAGTCAATATGCTCAGCGCTCTCATATTCATTGTTCTTCATCTTGTTCCTGTAGGAAATTACGGGCTCTCACATTTGGAAAGGAGGACACAGAAATACTGAACTGTACAGTGAGTGTGTGTGATGCCACAGGGGTAACAAATAAAAAGAAAGATTGTAGGTGAAACAAAATTTAACAAACCAATAATGGAAACATGAACAAATACTTATAAGGGTTTAAATGACTGCTGCTAACTGTTTCCACTGCAAAAAATACCAATAGTAATTCACAACAAACTACTTGATGTAAGACCTATTTCATTTTTCTGGAACACGTTAGCTGACAGATCGTCTTGCAAATTCACTACATCTATTCACAGCCTAGCTGATAAAAGACCTCATTTGCTTTTGACGTTTGAGCCTAAAATTCACTTACCATATTTTGTTGTGCAATCTTTCAAATTAATTGAGATATTAAAGTCATGTTCATGATGATGTAGTTAATGGATAAAGGATACTGAACTAACAGATGCATCACCACTCCCTGTCATTATGCAAAACTGAAGCCAAATACAGGGGTGGCCATCTTTGCTTTTGTGGCACATTTTGCAATCAGATCCTGCTCAGTAGCAGCCAGAGGTAATGCTGTGGTATTAGACTGTCAATAAAAGCTGTCAAATCATCGGAAATACAACCCTTTTTATATCATCAAGTTACTTAATAAAAACACAACTGAAAAATTATCACATGTGCAGAACTCAGCATAATAATATCTACCTAAAATGACAGAAATCACCCCTAGGAAAATTGAATTCTTAGTCTAACTCATGTCCCATCTGCTAACACGAAGGGGGCACTGCTTATGACCTTTACTGCAATCAACCATCGGCGGTGATCGACTTATGGCGACTTCACTTCTGTGAGCTGTCACATCATCCATTTTTATATACAGGCAATGTAACAGACAGATGAGCACATAAAGGCGGGTAAGCTCTTTTTGTGCCATACTTGATCTGATGGAGGCAGATGGGTTGGCTAATCTGGTGGTAGTAGTCTGGGTAGTCCTTCCTGGAGGGCAGCTGCAGGAAAGGCTCAGAGATCAGCTGGCCCTGACTGTTCCTGGCACCTCGCACAGCTTCATATAGCTGAAAGATCGGATTACTCATGTCCATGTTAGAGGTCATACTCTCTGCCTCAGATTCCCCCTCATCATAGTGAACAGACCCTGAGAAATACGGGAAGTCATGCACACCCATCACATTACAACAATGCCTAAAACATTTCATGGTGCAGAGCGTCTTAATCGGTGCCAAGTGACTGATAATAGAGGTGAACACGTACCAGACAGTATGCCTTCCTCGTCACTTTCATACTGAAGAGCCATGGTGATAGCTGAGAGGCGGTCTCCCTGGGCAGACCTTCTATTCCTGACAGCGACCGAACAAGAGAACTGAGTAAAATTCAAAACATTACTTCCATCCACAGTAGTCCCAGTGCTGTTTCTCATGTACCTGATGCGAATGCTGGACTTGATTGGTTCTCCATGTTCCAAATCAGACTTCTTCTGTGCAAATATCTTTTTAATGGTGTTTGCGTCCTAGAAAACAGTAGTGGATCATAGGCATTTTTGTCCAACACTGCTAATAGCATGCATGACATATCATACTCTCAGTTACACACCTTGAACACCTGTGATCCAGGCTCATTATATGTTTTGGCATTCTTGACCAGCAAATCGATGTCCTTAGCCATGGCACCGACACTCCTGTAGTGACCCAACTAAAAGCAAATTATTATTATTATGGTCATTATATTAACAAAAAGCTACAGAGAATAAAAGCAATAAGTAGTAATGCATATTTAATGAAAGAGGTGTAAAAGCATACCTGAATCTTTTGAGCAATGATTTTCAGATCTATTGGTTCCTTAATGATGGCATAATAATCAGGGTATTGCTAAATGGAAAAGGCAAGCCACACATCAGAGGTATGTCACTCATTTTACTGATCATGTATTAAATCACACTGAAGGGGCTGATACCATTTTGGAGGGAAGCTTCTGGAACAGCTCACTGACCAGACGGCCAGTAGGCTCAGTGTAAGACACCACAGCATCAAGGAGGTGCTCAAAGACGTCTTTCAAGCAGATAGGTCCACTCTGTCATATACAAGGAGTCACATAGGTCAGGCAAGGAAATATAGTATCATCCTCAGTCTTACAGTAACAATGCACCACAAAACAATCCCAAAGGTGGTATAGATAATGCATGGATGGATTATAACTATTTCTAATGAGAATTAAGTTACTGTTTATATGTAAATGACAGAAAATCAAGACTTTCACTTGTGTGAGGAAATTTGCTTTTAGTCTGGTTTCACTTTTTAATAACGGCCTTGATACAACTGACAAAATCTTTAACCAAGAGACACTTTAGCTGTATGATGTCCCCTTAAAATTATCTAAGTGTAGTAAATATATTATACAATAATAAATGGAGCTCCTTTCAAATCAGATATATTGATTGGTGTACCAATCTCACATTAAGTCTCAACACGAAGTCTGCAGACATTAAGCTTTGATCACGCTTTCAACAGACAAAATATTTATTGATTACTATGCAAATTAGCGTAGCATGGTGCTTAGTACATACAAACCCACCTGAACCTCAACAAAATCTGTTCTGTAAATATGAAGCATCTATTATTTCTGTTACTTCATGCTGGTGTTTAATAAGACCTAGACACCATGCACCACATTGGAGTTTGATTAATAAACACCACCATGGCACACATATGAAATCACCCCAAAGATGGATATCATTTGAAGTAGGTACTCTTTGAAGAGTCATGATAAATCCATGAGAGTCACCTCCTCCTCAGTAGATCCTCCGGGGTTGTCTTGTGCCTCATAACCATCTTCATAATCCTCATCATACTCCCCTCGCTGAACAAATTCATTCTTGGTTCGCAGGTAAAGGTCCCACAGTTTACAGGCTGCCCTGTACTCAGGACTGTCAGACTACACATAAGCAATACATGTTTAATTTAAGGGCATAGCCTATGCACTGCTTTCATTTTATTTTCTTCCTATTAATTAATTTGTTGTACCTTGTAATATGTTTTTGCATTGTTAAATAACAGCTGAAAGTCACTGGTGAGCTGTTCAACATCATCATACTCCTCCATCTTTAATTTCTGCTGGATCTTCATCATGTCAATAGGCTGAGACACCACATGATAATAGTCTGGTTGGTTCCTGTAAGAAACAGGGACTTTTCTCTTAAATTTGTATTAAATTAAATTAGAAATCTCAGGATGTAATTCTATGTACATATCTAATGATCACTTATTCCTGTCCTTACCTTCGTTTGGGAGCTCTGATGAACAGCTCACACAACATCCTGCCCTGGTCATCCTTGTAATCTCTGATTGTGTTGTAGAGTTCATGACATACAGCAATCTGCAAGGCAAGAACGAAACACTGAACAACATACACATCATTTGCCATGTCAGCTGTTTAATGAATCTGTGTGGTAGAATAATTCTGACAGAGTGTTTAAAAACAGTAACTGAAATCTGTAAAATTACAGGATCCACAGTTGGTATGTTTGAGGTCCTTCTCCTCTTTCTCCCAATTGAAGATACTAACGATGAACTTTGGCTATCGTCAAAATCTCCTCCACTCACACTGCTTGAGGGGGATGTCGCCCGTCTCCTTTTCAATGCCATGACAAACCCCTGAGGTAAAGAAAAAATTAAAGCTTCACTATAGTGAAAATGACTAAGATTAGAGCTATGAAATATTACACACTTGCTAATTTTTCCAGAGGTATCTGGCTAGGCGCTGCACCAGTCACTTACACCTGCTGACAGCTCATCAATGTAAAATATAGGAAAATGGAAGTTGTTGGTTTTTTCCTTCCTAAAGTATTGATTCGTGTAAAAATGGCAGTTCTGAATAAACGCATTATATTGGAGATGTACGGTAGAAGACTTGGACATAGAAGAAACAAGTGGTAGATGACCTTAAAATTATAACATCATAACATGTGATACCAATTTCAAGTTAGAAACTGGCAGTGCCCGTATAAATTTCTATGCCCACATTTCACTGCTATACAAGTCCCCTCATAGGAACCCTAATTATTTACTTTGACTTATATTTTAAATATTAATCTTTAAAAATTGCTCCACCCACCCCATTTTATGTAACTACCTTCTTTTCGGTACATAAAGGTGACAACCCCCCAGCTAACTCACCTGGAATGACATTTTCAATCAGCGGAGGAACAATGATGCTGGCATGTCTGCAGATTTGACTTATGACACAAAATATTAACAATGTCACCTAGCTGCACACAGCCTGCAGTCCAGTGTGCACACATCAGTAGTAAGCTAGCATCCAGAGCAGCCGCTGTCCACCTCCCTGACTGTCACCCAGCGTGGACAAGTACAGGCCACGTAACAGCTAACGTTAGCTACTGTTAACGATTAGCCTTCAACGTCAGGTAACGTTATAAGCCGAGACAAAGGCATCACTGTAACAACGAGTAACGTTTATGTTGCAAAGCTACCATTAAGTGCACCAGCGACACCTGATGGAAAATATTTCCGTTTGACATATTATTATCATAATATCTCCACGTGACACAGTTGTGTGCTTACCTTTTGTGAGCGTGTTACAAGACCTACAAAATTTTAACCATAAAAAGAGCCAATCAGTTATTGATTTTAGACAGAGGGACACATGCGTGAAGTTGGCACCAATTTAACCTTCGTTTCCGGTTTTTTAGCTTCAGAATAAAAGCTTATATTTTTCAACGTCGTTATAAGTGCGTTTTACATAGTTGTAATGATTATTTCCCCTCTTTTTATTTTAATGCGGCATTTGTATGATAAGCACATAGCATAATGGTAACCGCTTTAGCATTTACAAACCCTATCCATGGCATACTTTAAAAAATAAAGTTACCACGTCGCTGATAACGCAGTGAATGCAACGCGGTTCCTGTTAGTTGAATTCCATTACATGTTATCCTCGCCATTAAAATCTCATTTTCAGCTGAAAAAAAGCTGTTCAGCTCTGTGTCAAACAGTCATTTCCACAGGCACCGATCCTGTTAGGTCTTATCGTACTAACTAGGCTAATCCCCACTGGCTCATTTTGCCACCCTCATCACCACCAGGAGAACTCATATGCAGACAGTAGTTGTGTTGCATATAGAAAAATATCCACATCCTTTCATATGCCAGCTATTTAATAAATTTGTGTGGGGGTATAAGACTGTGTGTTTAAGAACAGTAACTGAAATATGAGAATTAAAATTTTTTGTATATTGAAAATGAATTTTGAATCTCCCCATATTGTAAGAGCCTACCTGTGTTTTTAACAGTTGCAGTTGTCCTTTCCTAAGTTTCAGTTTCTTCTTGAAACAATCACTTTTGACATTGATCAAAATCAAAGTGGCAGTCAAGCCACACATCTAAAGCCACCACAAATCAATGAGAGCATTTTTGTCAGATGTCTCAGTAATAAGTTGACTCAACCCATTCTTTCGGAAGTACCACAGTATATTAACAGCAGTTGTTTTTAAGCACTTATGGTGGAATCTGGCCTATTGGTGGCTTGATTTTATTATTTACTGCTATATTTTGAGATTGCTTTTCAATACTTGCTAATTTCATAATCAAATCAACTGCAGATCTTGGATAAATGCACCTGTTCAGATCTCTAAAATTATTTAAATAAAATTGAGGTAAATAAAACACAGCTGCTTTGCTGCCTTTGGGCCTGGACAGCTTGGTATCATCAGGGTGAAATGGGGGATGCAGCAGGACATTAATCTAAATTTGGAAGAAAATTTAGTGTCAATTCAAACAAACAACCAAAAAAAAAAAAAACAATCTGCCTTTTGGTGTGGCCCAGTCAGAGCCCAGACCAGTCGAGATGCTGTGGAATGACCAAAATGAGCTGTGTACAAGATTCAAGATTTTTATTTGCCATTTATGCATAAACAGACAGTCTAGGCATATGGGAATTCTTGTGCAGGGCTCTCCTGGAGTCAAGTAAAGAGTTTAAAGCCAAAAGAACAAACAACTAGTCAAAATTACCCAATAATACAAAATACAAAAAACAAGAATACCCAAGAATACAAAATAGTTAATAAAATTGTGGGTACAACAATAAGATAACAGGTAAAATGGGGAGTTTCAAATATTGCATATGGTATTGCACATAGTGGAATTGTATATGGTATTGTACTTAATATGGTAATGAGGGGTTATTGCACAGGTTTTTCACATTTTGTTTTTGCCATGAGTCTTACTGCGGCAGGTAAAATGCTGTTGTGAAATCTTGTTCTGTGTGTGATGATACTGTCCGCTCTGCTGTACCTGTGGTTGTGGGTGCAGTTTTTGTGTCTGAGCAGACTGTGAACTGGGTGGAGTGGGTCTCTGATTATGTTCTCTGATTATGTTCACACCTGACACAGGTACTGGAAGCACAGATGTTTAAGATTATTGCTTCCAAAAGGTTTGTTAGGTATTTTTAGTTAGATAGACATTGGTTAGATACTTTATGTATTAGAGATGTTTAGTGTAGACAGGATGTCTAGCTCAGGCTGTTAAATGCTTAGTCATTCTCATGGGGTACTCCAGGTTGTTCAGGTTCAAGACTAGACTAGACTAGACAGAAAGTTGATTATTGTTAGGAGACAGAATGTTTATCCTTATTGTTATGACGTGTTTAACCATAGTTGTAGTCATAATATTTTCTTATGCTGAATATCATGTCAGAATGTTTTAGCTAGACACCACATAATCAACAGACATTCACACATTGATTTTCTTCATGCTTTGACTACTGCTATGGCCAGCTGCAAAGCTGGCACCGGGAGACGTCACGGTTTGGCGTCCCGGCGTAGTGTGGGGCTAGCCCAAAGTGATATAATGTATAGGCCTGTTATGGTTCGGGGCTTTTCATCTTTCAGCTGCCTGTGTGCATGTTGGAGGTGCAAAGACTCCTGAGCGTGTAATGTTAATTTTTACCTGTGATCACTGAATAAATCAGCACTGTTTTGAAGTTACTTGGACTGCCTCGTCTCTCAGAGTTAACAGTAAAAAGAACTGGGTCTCCAACAGGTTCAATCATATTTTCCACCACATTTTCCATGTTATTGTTATTTTTTTCTTCTTCTTCACTTGTCCTATGTTAAACTGAATCTGCATTTTGTTTTGGTTTTCTTCTTTTCTTTACTTTCTTGTGAATAGTTTGCCTGCACATTTTTATTATGTTTATATTGTTTATAGCAAATAAGTGAGTCTAATTAACTCCAGATGGCAGTAATGTCTTACACCATTAAGGACACCAACTGCCATAAACACTCAAAGAAGAGAAAATATCAGAGTCCAGAGCAAAGCCGTAAATGTATTATTAGAGCTACTAGGGCCTATTTTTTCCATGACCAATCCTAATTCAAAATCTCATATAGATAAAACTGAACATAAGAGATGTTTTGCTGACATATTCAGGAACCGAGTGTTATACATTTTTGTTTTGGTGTCTTAGAGTAACTAATCTGATTGAGAAGATATGAGTTTTTTAAAACAATGCTGTAAAAACCACTCTCCTGATTTACACTCCTTACCAGTTGGTGGCGCTTCGTTGCTTGCCAGCCGCCAATAGGTATCTGAATATCACAAAGAAGACGATGGCTCCGGAGTAGGAAGTGTGCGTTCCAGCGGTCCCATGTGTTGTTGGTCACTGGTTTGTTTCATTTCTGTAGCTTTCCATAGAACAAAAGGCATCGTTGTGTTTTAAGAATACGATACTTTAAAGTGTCTTCCAAATCCACAAAAGAAGAAAACTGTAGCGTCTCAGCAAGTAAACAGTAACGCTAGTTAGCCAAGTTAGAAATCGTGCTAAAGTTCCTTTGAAAAAAATAACAGCCGTAGCCAGGGAAATTTTTAAGCGCGATATCTGGATGAAGAGCGCGGTGGATACCAGCATGATCAAGGAAAACCCATGGAACATACCCCCCAATGCACCAGCATGCATGGAGAAGAACCTGTGCTCGGCGCAGTACAGAGCAGGTAGGTGACAAGCGGAGCTAGCTGACAGTAACACCGGGAAGCACGTGATGCCGCTAGTTGGTCGGTTGGTGTGTTTGCGTACTAACTAAGATGGATACAATCGAACAAAATGTTTTAAAAAAAATAAATGTACATATTCAGAAGCCAGGCAACATTCTTTTTTCGTGCATGTGGCTAGATAACAAACATGTCATAAGTTGCGTTTAGCATCGTAAAAATGAGCTGCGTTTTGAACGGACTGCTACCCGAATTGAGGAATTGCTGTAAATGATTTTCATAATTTCAAGGACATCATGAAATGCCAACATTCCAGTGTGTTTTTTTTTCCCTCCCTCTCTCTCTCTCGTCTAAGATGGCACCCTGCTACTTGGTGCCTCCAGCCTCACTGGCAGGACCTGGCAGGGATCTGTGTGGCTCTACAGTGACCCTGAGAAGGCCCCCAATGAGGGATTCTGCACGGCCGGTGTGCAGACTGAGGCTGGTATCACAGATGTCAAATGGGTGTCCGAAAAGGGTGTTGCTGTTGCATCAGACTCGGGTAAGAAACAGATTCATATATACACTGCTCAAAAAAATAAAGGGAACACTTAAACAACACAATGTAACTCCAAGTCAGTCACACTTCTGTGAAATCAAACTGTCCACTTAGGTAGCAACACTGACTGACAATCAATTCCACATGCTGTTGTGCAAATGGAATAGACAACAGGTGGAAAGCATAGGCAGTTAGCAAGACATCCCCAATAAAGGAGTGGTTCTGCAGGTGGTGACCACAGACCACTTCTCAGTTCCTATGCTTTCTGGCTGATGGTTTGGTCACTTTTGAATGCTGGCGGTGCTTTCACTCTAGTGGTAGCATGAGACGGAGTCTACAACCCACACAAGTGGCTCAGGTAGTGCAGCTCATCCAGGATGGCACATCAATGCGAGCTGTGGCAAGAAGGTTTCCTGTGTCTGTCAGCGTAGTGTCCAGAGCATGGAGGCGCTACCAGGAGACAGGCCAGTACATCAGGAGATGTGGAGGAGGCCGTAGGAGGGCAACAACCCAG